GTCCTGTAAGAGGCCTAGCAGGGAGAAGGCAGGCACCCCTGGGAGGGAAGCAAAAAGGGTTCCATTTTGGCCATCTTAAGTTGATAACGCTTCTAGTTAAATCTGCCCATTTCTATAAGTAATTGCAGGTAAAGACTGCCTGTTAATTGTGTGTCTATAGGAGCATTCATGGGGGCTGAGAGCTGGGATTTTTCAGCCTAGGAGGCATGATTGCTCATGTTAACTTTAGTTTTATTTTGAGATGTGCAGAGTCTGAACACATTTCTGGGGACATTGTGTGGTGGGTTGAAGGGTGCTGCTTGTGGGTGGAACTCCACGGGGCTGTCACCTCCTGAGTTGCTTCCACCTTTTTGTGGGTCTTGGTTTCCCTCCCCAGCTGTCTGATCCAGCCATGTGGACTGGGAGCACTAGTTCACCAGCTTTCGTGTGTGGTCCCCAGACGAGTCAATTACTGAGCTACATTTGTGTTGGACTTCCCGATGGGGCTTCTCTTATCTGGAGGGGTACCCTCTGACACCTCCACATAGATTCCTCATCACCTGAGAATACCTGAAATTTGAGCTGGAGGAAGTAACTGCCTCTTATCTTCAGAGCCGAGCAGGTTCAGGCTGTCATTTATCCAGCCAGAGATTTTGTTCAGATCCTCAGAAAGCAATTCCAATTCAAAGTCACCCATTTTGTCCTCCTGTCCTGAGGCATTTCGGCTCTTTTGCCTGGGTAATCTCAACCTTTAACCTTTAGTTCCACCTCAAGGATTTAAAAACAAAACAGCTCAGGTGAAGTCAGGGCCTTTTCCTTTAACACAGGGAGGTCCAGCATTTGAAGTAAAACTCACTCAAGCTCACTTGATGCGAAGCGAGGAGCCGGTGGAGCACAGGGGCCTCCATGGTACTTGCCCTGGGCCGTGTCTGCAGAGTGGTCAGGGTGGGCTTCTTTGGAATACTGCCATACCACACCAAGTAGTGTGATCTGAGAAAGGTCCACACCCAGACGGGGGTCAGACAGACTGAGGCAGGCATCAGATGTTAGCAGCGTTGTTGGCTCCTGGTGCTTGAATAGAGTGAAGGAAGAATTCAAAACCAAGAACTCTAGTACAAAGGGAAGTTTATCCAGCATACAAAGTGAAAGTCCGGTTGAAGAGAGGATTCAAGTGGGCTGCACAGAGCTGCCTTGGCCTTTTAGAAAGAAAGTCACAGAGGCAGAGTTGTGAGCCAGCTGGGCTGCGTGGACTCAGCAAACAAGTTACAGAGTCAAAAGAAGGGTCTCTTGCAGACAGGTTCAGAGGTTAGCCAGCAATGAGGTGCTGCTGCCCACTGCTTCCCCGGTTGCAAGTCTCTAGGGGAAAGAAGCGGAGGTGGGGCGATGTGGCTGTGCTCCGGGGAGAGTGCCATTGGGTCCTTTGTGCTAGGTTCTGTCGTTTTCTAAAGGCAGGTCTCTGGGAAGGATCTCAGGAGAACATACATCAGCTTTCCAGGTGTTTCCTTCAATATGGTGATTCATCAAAATGAGCCTAAAGGGCTAAGGTCATGGTTTCTGCTGATTGGTTGGCGCTAGGATTGGGGGGCCACTCTCATTGTATCTGGTCCTGATGCCAACCATGGTGTCACTTTATCTGACTTGCTGCTTTTCTGGGCCTGACGCTGAAACACAACTGAGCCCTAGATGTTATCTCTAGTTTGACCAAAGCTCTGTCTCTGATCAAGAGACCCTTTATTCCTAAGATTATTTGATGCTGGTCAGAACCTCATTGTCCTGAGGGCTTAATGAGTAAGGAAGTGGTGTGCAGGGGAGAAAGGAGGCAGGTGAGTCAGGGTGCTGGATGGGGCCAGTTTGAATCAGCTCTCTGCCTCAGTTTCCCGAATTTTCCTAGCTTCTTATTATCTGTACTGCCTCAGATACAATTAGAAATAGTGATTAAAAAATTGACTATGGAAAAATACATAAAAATATACTTCTTATCCCTCTATTTTTCCTTAAACTACAGATCTCTTAATCTGGGTCTAAGACTGTTAGAAGATCCAAGAAGGTTTGGTCCCAAAGCCCCTAAAATACTGTGACAACTTTGGTGTGTGTGTACTTACTTGTGACTGTGTGTTCATATGTGTGCATACGCATGTGTGTTCAGTTTTCTGGGGAAAGGACTGACAGGTTTTATCAGAAATGTGTAGGGTCCGTGACTCCCAAGAGGAGAACATCTAAAACGTAGCCTGGCCTGGGAATTAACAGGTGAACTGAAGCAGAGTCAGACTTGAGAGTGATTTACTCTGTGGGGCATTTTCACTGCGCCTTTGGACAGATACTTCTAAGAGTGGCCTCATGGGTGACAAAGATTGCATTCTTAACATTTTGAGTTCAGGATGAAATTTGCTCTGAGTGTTTGGAGCAGGTGGCTTATTTAAAGATATGTTGGTGAGAAGGAGTAGTGGTTGAGCCCGGGTTGAGCTCTGTCTGCCAGCTCAGCTTCGTGGCCGTGTACCACCAGCTCAGTTATGGTTGGCAGACACGTTGCTCAGAAATGAACCCTGATGTTACCAGACACCAGAGAGAGCAACTCTTAAATAGGTTATTCACTGTAGAGATTAGAATCGTTTCCGTGAGCCAAGCTTGACATGTGGAACTAGCCTGTGAACCTGGACCCATTTGGCAAAGGTGTCTGTTGTAGGGTTTGAAAATAGTATTAGTGCTTAGTAAGTTAACCTTTGAGCTCTATAATACACTTGACACTAATGAGATTTCATGCTAAATTTTATGCTGGGAGTTGTTGATTTGGTTTTGGGGATTAATCTATTTCTGCTGCTGTACTCTCTAAATTAATTAGCAGCATGCAACTATGAATAAAATGTGCCAGAGTAATCATTTCAGGATTTTGCCTAACCTCTTTCTTCTTTCTTCATTACATGGAGTTGAAAGAGAACTATTTTCCTCATTAATGCCTCTGGTTACACTATAATCGTGGTAGATTGCCCCCAAATGAAATCTCCTCTGTGGTCCAAATGAGGTTTTTATTTTACTTCTCTTTGCTAATTCTCATTAGGGGATCTTTCATTGAAAATCCTTTCATCATGCTCATTTCTGCATATGTGGGCTTCGCTCATTTCCTGGAGCAAACTTTGACCTTTCATATGTTTTCAATGTTCTTTCTTGAGTTAGCCTACGCATGTGTGAAATTTAGGTTCATTTTATGAAATGGAATAATTGTCTTGTGGGCTGCATTTTTTGATATTTTTCAATGGAGTTGATTTTCCTGTGAATGAAGTTGCATTCTGTTCAAGTGCCCCGTGTCTTACCATGTTTTGTTCGTTGGATTTGTTGATGACATTCCAGTCATGTGCTACACCCTCTCAATTATGCAGATTCTCAGATGAACAGGAATCAAAAGTGTGACGTGAACTGTCATTTGAATAACTTGGTAGGCTTTAGAAAATGTGTCTTCAGACGTTTAGATAATGCAGTGACACTCGACTTCTTACTTCCATCTGTAGAGACAAACGACACATGGGATTTCACACTGAAAAGCTATTGTCCAGTTGGGAAGGCAAACAGAAAACACTCACAGTGTCAGTGTATCGTGGTAAGTGCACTAAATGTGCCTGCGATGCTTGAGTGCCTAGGATAGGGGTGGGCACTGTCTCAGCGTCACTTTACTTACAGCAAATCTGTCACCGTCAAGAAAATGTAGAAAAGCATCTTTGTGACCTTGGTGTAGGCAAAGATTTCTTAAATATGATACAAAAATACTAATCATAAAGTGGCAAAACTGATAAATTGGACTAATTTAGAATTTAAGAACTTCTATTAATCAAAAGACACCATGAAGACAATGAAAAGATAATCTGCGGAGTAACAAAATATTCCGAGTTCATGAATCTAACAGGAAATGTGTATCCAGAATATGTAACGAACCCTTACAGATGAATGAAAGAGAAGAAAGGATAAGTCAGTTTGAATGTATCCACAATGCAGTGCGCTGTTACATCAGCAATGTAACAGCATTACACTATAGTGAATTGGATGTTGTTCATCTACTTGCAAGAATATGAATGAATGTTGTTGAAAGAAATCAGACACAAAAGAGAACATAATCACATTCATATAAAGTGTGAAAATAGGCAGAATTGATTTATGCTGCTAGAAGTCCCGGTAGTGTTTACGTTGGCGTCGGTGGTGTGGAAGTGAGCCCAGGTGTCTGGGATTCTGGTGGTCTGTTCCTTAGTCTCAGTGCTGGTTACATTGTGTGTTACACTGTACACTTACATGTACATGTCTGAGCCTGGATTGAGGACAGAAAGCAACTACTGTCTTGGCGTCATGGAACTGTGATATAGCTCCCGATCCCCCCCTCTCTTTTGATTTTCTCAAACCATCTGTAGTGAGATGATAGTAATTTTATAATGCAGAAGAGTAAATAACCTTAAATAATAGAAATATCAGTCAGTGGCTGTGTGTGAGCGAGAGCTTGCCGACGTGTCAAAACCCCACAAAAGACAAGTGGGGCGCCCATTTTTCTAGCCAGACCTGGTCAGGAAGAGAGGAGACCACCGAGTGGTTGCCTGTGGGCGGCGTAGGCAACTTATTTGACCTAGAGTTTGTTTTGTGCCCAATGGTATTCTGATACCTACTCTGCAGTGCTGTTATGAAGCGTTGTTCGAGTGAATAATTTATGTCTTGATCTAAATAATACATACTTTAAAAGGTCTTGTCAAAGAACAAGCATGAGTGGATCTCACGGGCAGGATATCACGTGGGTAAAAAGTAAAGAACCCGTTCTTACCTCCGCAGGGTTTCTGGAAGGGGTTCTCTGCGGCACGGGGCTCTTTCCTGCAGTTTTCTGTGCACCGTTCACAGAGGAACTGTGCCGGCTGGGTCCCCGTGCTTGGTTACGGTGGAGAAGGGCTTCCGACGTGTCTGTCTTCATGTCTGGTCATTTCAAGTAGTCCCGTCCTCACTCTGTTCTTACGACAGCCACATCTTCGCTCTTCTCGTTTCCCGTCTTCTCCCAGGATGAAGTCGGTGTCCCAGACAGCCGCTCCTCCGACCTTCTGCACTGGACCACGGCCACCACCATGAAAGTCCTTTCCAACACCACGACCACCACCAGGGCGGTGCTGCAGGCGGTCAGCGCCGGGCAGTGGTGGAAGAAGTCTCTGACTTACCTGCGCCCCCTCCAGGTAGCCCTGCCTCCCTTGGAGCTCAGCTGTGCTCCACGGCAGCTCCTTAGCTCTGCTCCTGTTCTCACGTTACAGCTTCGTCTTCTCCGGATGATTAAAATCATCTCCTAGGAAACCTGGGCCTCCCGTCAGGCGGGGATGAGGGTTTGTTTCCAGAACATAATGTGTGCCCGCAGAGGACTTGCAGCAGACACTGATGTCGGTGGGGTTTATGTCAGAATGAAGTTCAGTGGGACGGAAAGGAAAGGATGATGCAGCGCTGACTCACTGTTGTACTTCTACAGGCCGGTGGTGAAGGAACGTGCTCAGCACCAGCCCGAGAGCTGTCTTTAGGCAGTTGGGCCGCTGGGACAGAGATCCACGGCTTGGGAGGGCTCAGCAGCAGACACGTAGTTCTCACTATTTTGGGGCTGGGAAGCCCAGGGTCAAGCGCCGGCAGATGTAGGTGAGGGTCTGCTTCCTGGTTCACAGCCGTCTCCCTGCTGCGCCCTCACGTGTCAGGAGTCCCTTGTACAAGGGGCCAATCTCTGCCCACTGCCAAAGGTGTCGCCTCCTGATACCATCACCCTGGCACCCGAGCTGACAAAGCAGTCCGACAGACCCCCCTCTATCTGGAAGTAGGGGTCAGGCGAGCGGCGGGTCCGCTGTCCGTGGCTGTGACCTGGCCACCCGCTGCCCCTGCTCCGCAGCCGCACACGCACTCCTGCGGTCTTGCAGGGAAAACGGGAGAGGTTACCCCAGACACGCACGTGGCTGGCCCTCTCGTTAGTGAATTCGCTCTCCATTTATTCTACACACGCTTACAGGCATTTTCTGTGCCAGACCTGGGATGGGGAAATGGTCTAATTCCCGTCCCTGGAGAACTGGTAGAGAGCCACAGATAAAGCCACAAATAAACTGTTTGTGTAATGATGCCATGGAGGTGGTGGTGAGCACTGTGAAGACACACATGATCAGGGAGTGATGGTGACACTGAGGAGTGAAGTTCTGGTTCCGATGGGGATGCTAGGGTCTCAGAGGGGCAGGCTCTCCGAGCAGGAACCTGACAGCCAAACAGAGCATACAGAGCGCTCTCTGAGGGCCTGCTCGACGTCCTGGTGTAGCAGGAAGGAGGCCTGTGCAGTACGAGCAGAGTGGACGGGGGTCAGAGAGGCCCACCGCACAGCCTTGTGCACGCTGACGGGGACCGCGGACCTGACTCTGGGGAGATGGGGCGCTGTTGACTTCAGGCAGTACAGTCGTGCGATCCAGCAATACTTTTAGTAAGATCGGTGGCTTCTGTGTGGCGGCTGTGTGGCGGCTGTGTGGCGGCTGTGTGGCGGCTGTGTGGCAAGTTGGCCTCGTCGCTGCAGCAGCTCTACTCTTGCCTGCGGCTGCGCTCAGTGTCAAGTGCTCAGGAAACGGGAGGAATGGGGACTGCCTGTCGCCTGGCTCTTCCGGTGAGGAGATTTGCACTCTGTGGAGGAAAGTCACTAACCAGATGGGAGACACTAAAGTACTTGCAGATGAGGACTGCTGATGACAAGTGTGAAAGGCATTTGTGTGGCTTGTGTGGGAGAGAGGGAGATGGCAAGGGGCACACTTATCTCGCCCTCGTCTGGTAAGGGCTCAGCAGGGGGGTCTGGGGTGGGCCTGGAAGGGCAGCTGGGACCTAGGTAGGCAGGCAGCGTGGACAGGAGCCTGTCAAGGGAGCGAACCGTGGAGGTAGATGCATCAGTAGACAGTGGATTGGAGTGAAGAGTTAGCCTTTAGTGTTAGTTCACATTCACTGACTTAAACGTTATTCTGCACAGTTTAGACTTGATGCTGTTGGCTGTTTGCATTGTTCAAAGCTACTAAAGGCCTTTGGAGCAGGGGAGCAATATGTATGAAGTGATGCCTTAGGAAGGTTATTCTGGCGGGAGTATGGAAACTCATTATGTGTATCATACCGATTGCTTCCGTATTCCTGATTCATCGATGTCAAAGTGACCAGGAAAATCGAAGGCACTGCAGGGGTGAGGTTGGAGTGCAGCTCTTAGAATGTAGTTATTATCCCTCCATTCTCTGCTGGGTGTCTGTCTGTGTCACTCTGACACGCTCTTCTCAGATCACACAATGCACTTTGATTGTCACTCCTGAAATTCCCCCCCGCCCTCCTCCTTTCTTCTCTCCTTCCCTGCCTTGCTCCACTCCGTCTCTCCCTTCTTTCCTTCATCCCCCGAACCCCAGTTCTCTGACTTTTTACCTGTTTTTTCACTTTGATCTATTTAGGGGCAAGAATTTGGTGATGCTTATCGAAGCGGAATCAAAGGCAATGAAGGGTTAGAAAAACAAGGCTGTCATCCATTTTATGAATCTGTCATTGCGAATCCCTTTATCACAGAGGTAAGGACAGGGTGCCTGAGCCCACACCTTGAACTGTCATGCTGTTGTGGGCATTTCAGTATAAACAAAAACTGAAATTTTCCTGAAAATATTCTTCTTTGGCTCTGTTCTTAACCATGTTATTTCATGGGTTTCACATGACTTGTTCTGTGTACAGCATACTATGAGATTAAAATCGACGGGAAGTTTTGCACAAAATAATATGCTTTAGTAAGTCAGAAGTTATAATTCAAGTCACCAGAAGATTTAAAATTTTACAATTGTGTTTTCTAAGAATATCTTCATAGAAAAAAGGACACCCCAGTGAATGGCCTTCTTTTTTTGTCTAGTCTGAAGTAACCTATGACACCTATCAGCATGTCCCCACAGAAAGCTTTGCAGAGGTATTGCTGAGGACTGGGAAGCTGGCAGAGACTAAAACGGAAGGAGGAGAAGTATTTCCAACAACAGAAGGTATGAAACATGCTGTCCCTTACATGTGCAACTCAGTGTAGGAGGAAAGTGAAACTAGGAATGAATGGGAGGGAAAGCAAGAAGACATAGGAGAAGCTTAACTGGATGTCATCATTCATTTATTTTATTTATTTAAAACATTTGTTACCTTCTCCTCTCCAGTTACTAATATCGAGGCTTTAAAAGGGTACATATGATACAGTTCCTATTTTAAGCTGCTAATTACATAAAGTGATTCTTACAGTGAATGGTAAAGTGCTCAATAAATGTTTCTTTCTTTCTGCTTGTGTGTGTTAATTAGCAACTCTTAGGCATATGCCTTACAGCATGTAGATGTGTATTTCATCTTGAGGATTTTCTGCATGGTAGCATATCTTTCCATGTAGAGTTTTTTGAAAAGAATTAAGTCTATGCATATTTTTCCATTGATTGTTAAGAGAGGGCGGGAGGGAGGAAAGGAGAGAGAAACATCCATGTGAAAGAGACATCCACTGGCTGCCTCCTGCATGACCCCAGGGGATGGGGATCAACCCTGCAACCTAGGTGGGTGCCCTTGACCGGGAATCAAACCCGAGACCCTTCGGTCCCCAGGCCGACGCTCTGACCTCCGAGCCAAACTGGCCAGGGCGGCCCCTGTGTCTTTATGTTGCTGTCTGGTCTCTCCCACGTGGGTAAGACCCTGAGTGCCACCCACACCACCTTCTGACGCATGGAGGCGCTGTCTTAGCAAGGTTCCTGCATGGCGGTGCCTGCCCTCGTGTCGTCGCGGCGAGGGCGGGGTCCGGAGCCGAGGCTGTGCTCCCGAGAGCCCGAGCCCAGCTCCCACGGGCCTGCGTGTCCCCGCGGTGTCTCCCCCGGGCCTGCGTGTCCCCGCGGTGTCTCCCACGGCCTGCGTGTCCCCGCGGTGTCTCCCACGGGCCTGCGTGTCCCCGCGGTGTCTCCCACGGCCTGCGTGTCCCCGCGGTGTCTCCCACGGCCTGCGTGTCCCCGCGGTGTCTCCCCCCCGGGCCTGCGTGTCCCCGCGGTGTCTCCCCGCCGGGCCTGCGTGTCCCCGCGGTGTCTCCCACGGGCCTGCGTGTCCCCGCGGTGTCCCCCACGGGCCTGCGTGTCCCCGCGGTGTCTCCCCCACGGGCCTGCGTGTCCCCGCGGTGTCTCCCACGGGCCTGCGTGTCCCCGCGGTGTCTCCCCCACGGGCCTGCGTGTCCCCGCGGTGTCTCCCCCACGGGCCTGCGTGTCCCCGCGGTGTCTCCCACGGGCCTGCGTGTCCCCGCGGTGTCTCCCCCGGCCTGCGTGTCCCCGCGGTGTCTCCCCCACGGGCCTGCGTGTCCCCGCGGTGTCCCCCACGGGCCTGCGTGTCCCCGCGGTGTCCCCCACGGGCCTGCGTGTCCCCGCGGTGTCCCCCACGGGCCTGCGTGTCCCCGCGGTGTCCCCCACGGGCCTGCGTGTCCCCGCGGTGTCTCCCCCGGGCCTGCGTGTTCCCGCGGTGTCTCCCCCGGGCCTGCGTGTCCCCGCGGTGTCTCCCCCGCGGTGGGCGGTGGGGCTTTATCTGCCCGGTTCGCCCCGCGGCTCTTTCTCACGTTCAGATGTTGGGGCTCCACCAAAGGGACAGGCTCCAAGTCCATTGAAGTATTAACATTTTTTTCAAATCTTGTTGAATTGAGTGGGAAAGGCATTTTAGAGCACCTACTGTATATATTAAGAAGAGATGCTGTAAAAATACAGAGGTGATTTCAGTAACCATCCCTTTAATTTACATTTGGCTTTATAATTTATGAAGCATTTTCCTAAACACATTGGTACCAATCATGCTAATAGATCTTAAATAGATATCTTTGACTATCACAGGACCAAATATTTGTCAGAAACATAGCAGAATTGAAGAGTTACGTAGGAAAAATGACCCAAATCAAACATCATCAAAATGTAGTTCTTGACTTTGGCTCAGAAGTGGGTTGTAATATAATTACACTTTCCAACATGATCTGACTTTCCAGAATTTTTTAATAAAGTTGATGAAAAGGTTTTTATGAAGACTATCTGAAGAAAATTGATCATTATTTATTTAGCTAAATGAATGATTTAATGGCTAATGATTTCCAAATCAATAATATGGGTAGCTTTCCTCTGTGAATTTAAGTCTGGAATTAAATTGCTCACAGACTCTTTTAGAGGCCCCCATCCTGCACAGAATTAGTGGCTGCAGGCAGGGGCACAGATTCCATCGGATTTTGGCTGCACAGCTGTTTTAGAACATGCTTTGCACTCAAGGTTTGAGAACTCGCATTGCAAATTACATTCATATGCTCTGATACATGGAGGGCAGGTCTTTTCTTAATATATCTTAATGGTAATGTAACATCACTCTGACTCCATCTGCAGCAAGCATGGATCTGGGGGGTCCCAGTGCGACCCTCCTCAGAGTCTTACTGAGAATGTTGTCTATTGTTGCTTCCAGTGGCTCCCACACTCAAACACCGAGAGCTTCCTAGAGGTGGGGTCTGAGTTCTACTTTGCAAGGATCCTTGAGTCTCAGTGTGGGCTGCAGAGAAAGTTTTGATGCCCAGGAGTGGAGTGTGGACACTCCCCTCCCTCCCAGTCAGCTTCCTGTAAAGTCCAGCTGTTAGGAGGGGTGTTGGGCTGGGCACTTGGTTGTGGAGATGACTGTACTGTGATCCACCTGTGGGAGGAGGAGATGTCCCGAGGTAAGGGCAACATTTGTGGTAGGGGTGAGGGAAGAGATGGGATCCCTGTCCTTTCAGCCTGGGGACATGTGGGTGGCGGTGTTCTTGACACTGGCGGTTTGTCTAGTCTTGGAGCAGCAGGAGGTCACAGGCTTTGTGTGTCTGAGAACTGGAGAGGAGGCGTGTTCAGCTGGGCCAGCACCTTCCAGGAAAACCCATTTGGGAGATAGATGACTGGCAGGGAGTTTGAACATTTGACACAGTTGCCAGAGAGGATGCTTTCCTCTGTTCTTCCCCCAGTATTTTATTAAGAACACTTTCAAATGCACAGAGTTGAGAAAATTCTATAGTGAACTCCCGTAGACCTTCCCCCGAGATTCGACAGTGATCATTTTACTGGTATCCTCAGCCCGCCAGCTCCCCACCGCCCATCTGTCAGCTCAGCACAGACTAGACAAGTGACTGAAATTCTAGTCCGAGGAAGACAGTTAGGAAGGTAAATCTTCTGGAAAAATATTATGAAGTGTGTTCCTCAAGTCAAATGTTACTGACTTTGGGCTGTTCACACAGTGTTCTCCTTCCTTAGAGCAGGTGGGGAGAATCTGTGCTCCTCAGAAATCAAGGATTTACGCTGCAATTGCCTGTGACCACCTGTCACTGTTCCCCAGACCTAAGCGAATGGAGTATGTCCCTGCTTACACCGCTGCTGATGAGCACAGACTTCGTTGACCTCTCGTTCATTAAAGCTGTGGCACTCACAGGTGTCACTCACGTCTGTTTCTGTGTGGAAAGGCTGTTCATGGTTGGATGTTTCATGAGACTATGTAATGAAAGCAAGAGACTGCTATTTTTTCTGTGGATTGTGAGGAAGAGGGGTGTTCTTGGCAGGAACAAACCATGGTAGCAGTCCAAAGATGTGTCCTCGCTTGGCACGCAGAAAGCTAGCTACGTTGTTGCTCTGATCGTCGGCATGTGTGGCCGGCCTCACCTGCCATTGACGTGCATGCTTTCACGGCCTGGCCTGGGCCTGGGCGCCACCTCATGGACCTGTCTGCACTGGACTTTGCAGCTACACTGGCAGGATTTCCTTGTGTCTAAAAGAAACAGCATCGTTTGTCTGAGATAAGGCAAGGTTACCATTTAACATAGTTTCATGTGGTCTGTGTTCAGATAGGGCTGAATAGACTCTCATAAAGTGTCTCAGACAGTCCTCTGAAGCTAATTGTTGAAATTGTGTAGGACTGAAAACATGGTACTTAGTGACTGTGAATGTCATGCGGATCCTCCAGTAAAGTAATGCCACTTTTCCCCGTGTTCAGTTCTCTTGCAGCTAGCAAGCGATGCTTTACCAAATGACATGACCTTGGCCCTCGCTTACCTCCTGGCCTTGCCACAGGTGAGTGTATCTTACCAAGACCGAAGGACCGACACGCGAATTAACTAAAGATCTGTTGTTCATAACGATCGTTCATTTTACATGAACACCGCAGTCAGTATCCAGAGAGTAAATTCTGTAGTGTTAGCCAAAATGCTGATTTTAAATCTGCTTTTATATGCATAGGATCTATCTGCCTTTATAGTGTCTTCACAGTTCTAATGTTGTCATATTAAGATGAGATCGAGTTGATGTGATGGCAACTGAACCAGAATTCTATGGTAATGACCAGATAAGTAACGGTTCACGGTCTTGCTGTCCTTGCACTGAGCTCGTCCCGCCATGTCCCCTCTAGATGCTGGATGCTAACCAGTGCTTCGACACGCAGTCCTGCTCGGCCCTGTCTCTCCAGCTGGCCGCCTACTACTACAGCCTGCAGATCTACGCCCGGCTGGCTCCGTGTTTCAGGGACAAGTGCCATCCTCTTTACAGGGTGAGTTCTCGTGGTTTCACTTTGTAACGAGCCGGGTTAAAGTCGTTCTCGGGTAGTTGAACTTGTGCCGACCGCTTTGGACGTGCCGTCTCCTGTGCGCCCGGAGCATTCCAGGTGGCCGCCGCCTTCCTTCGCGGCCGCTTCTCCGGGCGGCAGTAAGAGGTCCGGTTTCTCCTGTTTGTCGTGAATGCTGATTCTTCCCCAGACTTTGCTGCCACTTGCTTCGTTTTACAAAGGTCCCAGGAAGGGCTAAAGTAGCAGGTGAGGCGAAATGAAGAATTAGTTTTTACTTCACTGCCCGGAAGGAAGGTGGCCTGTGTGGTTCTCTGAACAGCGCTGCGCTTCTGGGTATTCTCGAGCCATAGGTATGAGAGGAGTAATTGCACAGGTGACATGTTGAAACTGTACTTGCCCCCGAGTTTCGGACAGCTTTCGTGGAACTCCTGTTCATCTCGGAGGGAAAGCACCTTAGCCTGGCCTCAAGGCACCTGTGCCGTCTTTTGTGGACACAGAAGTGTCCAGATGCCCTGTAGATCAAAGCCTCAGGTTTACTTTATACCCAGTTTGTCAGTGGTCAGCGCTGGAAATTCTCTGCTTTTGTAGTGGATTATTTTAGGAGAATTACCACCTGAAGAGCGATGAGCAGAGATCAGACTTTCGAGTGCACTGTGTGCCCACATCCAAGGCGCACAGTTTGTCGAGGAGGGTTTTTACCCCCGACCCAGAGCAGGCGGTCAGGGAATAATTTCACATGGGTATCAAAGGTCCAGCTGCCTCAACTGTGCAAAACGTCTCTGAGAACCTGTCAGTACGTGAAAACATTCCATTGGTGGCAAAACCTGTGGCTCTATTCACCAGTGTTATTTAAAAAGAGGAGGGTGCTGAGGAACACCCACCACACAGGTTGGTCTCCCAGGGCATCATCCCCGTTGGCAGGGGTGTTACTCTCAGACATGGTTTTAGGAATAGGAATGTTTTCTTTTTAGCCTCTTGATATAAGCTATTACTTTCTTTTGGGAATTTCGAACTTTTTTTTGTAGTCAATTTTATTTTATTTTATTTTATTTTTTTAAATCTTTATTGTTGAATGTAGAATGTATTACAAATGTTCCTCATTTTTCCCCCATTGACCCCCTCCTCCCCACTCCCTCCCCCCTCCCGCCTTTTCCCACACTGTTGTCTGTGTCCATTGGTTATGCATATAAGTTCTTTGGTTTATTTCTTCCCACCCCCCAACCCCTTTCCCTTTGAGGTTTGTCAGTCTAGCAATGAATTTGTACTTCTTAATCCCTTCACCTTTTTCACCCATTCCCCCAACCCCCCTCCCATCTGGCAACCAACAAAATGTTCTCTGTATCTATGAGAATGTTTCTGTTCTATCTATTCATTTTGTTTGTAGATTCCATTGTCGATAGATATGTATTCATTGCCATTTTGTTTGTTCATATATTTTATCTTTTTCTTCAAAAAGACCCGTCATCATTTCATATAATAACGGTTTGATGGTGATGAACTCCTTTAACTTTTCCTTATCTGGGAAAGTCTTTATATGGCCATCGATTCTAAATGACAGCTTTGCAGGATAGAGTAATCTTGGTTGTAGGTTCTTGCTTTTCATCACTCTGAATATTTCTTGCCTCTCCCTTCTGGCCTGCAAAGTTTCTTTTGAGAAATCAGCTGACAGCCTTATGGGAACTCCCTTGTAGGTAACTAGCTGCCTTTCTCTTGCTGCTTTTAAGATTCTCTCTTTGTCTTGAACTTTTTGCATTTTGATGATGATGTGTCTTGGTGTGGGCCTCTTGGGGTTCATCTTATTTGGGACTCTCTTTGCTTTCTGGACTTATATGTCTGTTTCCTTCACCAAGTTAGGAAGGTTTTCTGCCATTATTGTTTCAAACAGGTTTTCAATTTCTTGTTCTCTCTCTTCTTCTGGCACCCCCAAGATGAGAATGTTGGCTCCCTTGAAGTTGTCCCAGAGGCTCCTTACACTCTCCTCATGTTTTTGCATTCTTTTTTCTTTTTACTGTTCTGATTGGGCATTTTTTGCTTCCTTATATTCCAAATCGATGGTTTGCTTCTTGGATTTACATACTCTACTATTGAATCTTTGTAAATTATTCTTTATTTCAGTGAATGCCTCCTTCAATTCTGACTGTGCATCCATCATTTCTGACTGGTCCTTTTTTATGCTCTTGAGGCCCTCACTAAGTTCACTGAGGTTCTCACTAAGTTCATTGAGCATCCTTATAAGCAGTATTTTGAACTCAGCATCTGTTAAGTTGCTTATCTCCATTTAGCTTAGTTAGTTCTTTTCTTTGGGTTTTGTTCTGTTCTTTCATTTGGGACTTGTTTCTTTGTCTCCTCATTTTGGCTGCCTCTCTATGTTTGTTTCTGTGTATTACTTAACGAGTGGTATGGGGCTCGCTGAGACCAGATGCTGCTCGTTTGAAAGAATTTAGGAAAAACCTGAAGCAGGATCCAAGACAGGCCAATCCTATGGTTAAGCAAGTGGCAACAGCTTGGGTGTGCTTGAAAGTTGGGTGGGGCGGGGCCTCAGGGAGTCACCAGGGCGGGGCTACCAGTGTGAGCCAGGTTGCCAGAGTCCCAGATATGCCAACTGTCTGCTGCCCCAGGGAAGGGCTCACCAAAGGAACAAAGGCCTCTGACAGCACTTCTGTCCCGGAGAAAGCCCCCTCTCCAGCCCTCGCTCCAGTGCCAAACAGCTCAGTTATTCCCTGTGTCTCTGGTGCCCCTCGAGCTGCCTCCCCTCCAGGCTTAGAGGGAGAGAGTCCAATAAGTTTGTGCCCGGGCCCTTTAAGGAGCTGCCTGGGGCTCCAGCTGCATCAGCCTCCCTGAGCCTCAGTTCCCGCTGGTTTTTCCAGCCAGAAGTGATGGGGACTCTCTTCCTGGCACTGGAACCCTGAGCTGGGTACCTGGTGTGGGACGGGGACCCCTCAGTCATTAGGAAGGACCTTCCCAGCCGAGGTGTCCTCCTGATTTTTATCCACCACAGGTGGGTGTGGGACCAGCCCATCCGCCTCCGCCCCTCCTACTGGTCTCGGTGTGGCTGCTGCTTTAATTCTGTAGTTGTAGGACTTCCATTCAGCTTGATTTCAGGCGGTTTTGAATCATGGTTGTTCAGTAGTTTAGTTGTAACTTTGATGTCCGAACTTTTTTTTTTGATAGCTCCTGCTGCTTTGTACAATTACATTATTCCGTACTCTAGTAATTTTCCTTTGTTTTGTTTTTATATCGCAGGCATGTTATTATGTGAACTAAGACATAGACCTGTGGTGGTACAAACTGAGGGAACGAGGTGATTGTATGGGTGGGAGTTTATGTCTGGAGGGTGTACTTCATCTCCTGCTTCATTCGGCTGGAGGGCCGGCAGAGTACTCGTGGCGTGTGTGCTGCTGTCGGCTTCTCAGTGTGTCCTCCTGTCCTCAGGGCTGTGCGTGTGCACAGCACCAGGTTGTTGCTCCAGCCGTCCGGGTGCTGGAACAATGACGCTGGACTGTGGCCGGAAGCGCTGTGCGGTGCTACAGATTTGAATTCCTCCCCAGCAAGTCATTGTGTGCTCAGTACATTTGTCTGAGATTTCTCAGTGGGTACCATTGAGTGGGACCCCAGTGCTGGAAGGGCATCTCCCTCTTTAAGTCACAAGTATCTTATCTTTCCTGAGGTCATACTGTGTGCCTGGTACTGTGCTCTGATTTCCATGAATATAGAGGATGGAAAGGTCACTCAGGTCAACTCCTCTGTCACTAATCTCCTCTGAGCATGGGGGTGGGGGGACTGTGCTTCCTGCTGAGCATGGGGGAGGGGGGCTGTGCTTCCTGCTGAGCATGGGGGGGCGGTGCTTCCTGCTGAGCATGGGGGAGGGGGAGGACTATGCTTCCTGCTGAGCATGGGGGAGGGGGGACCGTGCTTCCTGCTGAGCATGGGGGTGGGGGGACTGTGCTTCCTGCTGAGCATGAAGCGGGGGGACTGTGCTTCCTGCTGAGCATGAAGCGGGGGGACTGTGCTTCCTGCCTAGCATGGGGTTGGTGGCGTGTTTATGGACTTGTCCTGGACTGGGAGGATCAGACTAACCCTCAGAAGGTGCTGTAGGCTTAAGGCGCCTTTCACACTCATTCTGCCCCTTGATCCTCTGACCGACCCCATTTTGTGCAAGTAATTTCTTTGTGAAAAGAAAGACCCGGAGAAATCTGGATCCTTATTCAGGTTTGCTCTGGTGGAAAGTGTCATCCTGTCACCGAGGGGTCCTGACCCCAGCTTTACCTGTGCTACCTTGACATGCTGCCGCTCCAGCTTTGTCTCAGGAGAACCCGTGACCCCGGTTTGGGCCGGAGTGGTCTCTGGCACGCAGGTGGCGGGCCATTCCCAGCAGCGTGTTCTCGTGCTTTGCTGCGACCTCTGGGTCACGTTCAAACTCCTGCGTGTGACGGGAACCACCTCGGTGGACTGGCTGCCCTTCCTTACCCCCAGCCATGATTCGCTCTTCTGAAGTTTATGTCCTCACTGTTCAGAGTTAACATTTCTCTGAATTGAACATCCCTTCACACCTCTGCCTGTCTGGAATCCCTCCTCCTCCCCACGGTCAACAGGGGAGCCTCGGGTGTGCTGCCGCCTCCTCCGTGCGCTGTCCTGAGACAGGCTGCCTCGGGGCGTCTGGCGGGGTCCTGCGAGGCAGCTGCTCCCCGTGCTCACAGAAGGCAGGGGCCACCCGACGCCGGGACCTTGCCCACTGCCGTTCCTGGGGGGCCTGTGCAGAAGGTCAGGGTCATCAGCCGCGGTGCCTGAGGACAGCCTTCAGGCTTCCGGTTTGCAGTTTTGAGGGCTGACTCCGGGTCTTGAAGGGATCAGAGGGCACAGTAACCGGATGTTTAAGGTGCATCTGTGTTTCCCATCGACTGCCTAATGGCTCATTATCTGGGTCTTCTCAGCATCTTCTGTGCATAGCCAGCACTGCCGAGTGGGGTTGGATGTGGCAGACTCCT